GTGGACATTGGATTAGCAGGTATATAATCGGTTGGATGCCTCAAACCATTAAAATAATCAAAATGTGCTAACTCCTTAATCTTTGCACAGACACCTAATCTTTCAATTTTGACTAGCAATCGATTCAATCGCTAAATAGTATTATCACTTATTTGATAATGTGAATAGAACAAACCGTGCCCTAATGGCATGCATGTTAGAGAGGATTAGATAACTTCGGTCACTATTAAAGAAAGAAAATGAAGCTAAAATCTTATTTATGGTCGACCTTTTATATATCACAAGTGAAGAACTTATTCATGTTTTGTTGTGCAAATGCTGAATTGGAGATTATTTATAATAAGCCAACCATGCAACTCCATCTAGCACCATTATTGAATAGCATAATTGATTGAATCCAGCAGCCAAGACACTACTTGCTACCTAACTTACTTTAGCCAAATGGTGTGATGTTTGATAATATATTATGTTGCTAGTAAATGGACCCCACCCCACCCCACGCTGAAAAAGAATTGGGGAATATACATAATTTCGAATAGAAGAAAGTGGAACAAACCTGAGCCCCAAACAGGGAGACACAGATCAAACCCATCCATGAATGCAAACTGTAGAAATTATCCAAAATTCCATCTTGTCCATGAAATTTGGTCCAAATTCCAAAAATCCCACAAGCAAGAGCCAGTCCTTGAAGACATAAATGCACTAATTTCTTTAAATTCATTGAACCAGGCAACATTCTATGCACCAAAATTGCTGAAAAAATAAACACAAATTCATCAAACCCCAAGAATTCAAGAAATTAAACATTTCCTTCTCCAAATTGGCAAATAAAGAATAAATTAATTAATACCTTCTCCAGTAACAAGAATGAAACCAATCACCATTAGCAAAGGATGCAGCACCTGCCCAACAAAGAAAACAAATTTTACTTACTCAAAATGCACATGCATGCATGAACATACATGTTAAAGAACATATCAAAATTTTCAGACAGGAAATATGGGTTTTTTACAGAATAAATTAGGTCTTCCCGGGAGTGGGAATGAGGAAGAAAACTGGACTTGAAATGAAGTGCCCAAGTGAGTACAAGAAATGCAACTGTAAAAGCTGAGAGTCTGGCAAAGAGTATAAGAGAAATGGGTGAAAATGAGATTATGGCCATGGCTCTCTGCCTCTCTCTCTCTTGATTACTAGAAATGCTACTGTAATAGCTGAGAGTCTGGCAAAGAGTATAAGAGAAATGGGTGAATATGAGATTATGGCCATGGCGCTCTGCCTCTCTCTCTCTTGAGTACAATCAGAGGTTTAAGCTCAGTGGAAACTGAGAAACAGACAAACAGTGAGCAACCTACAAATAAAGATACCAGCGTTAACACTGTAGTGTTGAGTGGGGACAATTGGACTGTATAATTATTCTCTGGGGCTCTTGCTTTATTTGGATATAAAATAATATAAATTGGATTATTAATTATTGTACTGTTTTCTATGTAATTATAAATGACACATACCACGTGTAATTTATTACAAATCAGTATTTAAATCAATCAAGATTCCTCGATCAATATTACAATTATGTTAAATTTACGTTCTTGTGTACATCTTCTCTTACACTACTCTTATGTCACTTAATTTAGGTGGGAAGGAGAAAGATTGTTGAGGAAATCAAAGGGAATGATGGTGCCATGTGACAGGGTGATGCAGGGGGATCCGAACCAGACGAGGCTGAACTGTCTGATAGTTCGTTAATGGCGCTGAGATATCATGAGTTGGCGGATCAGCGCAAGAATGACAAGTAATCATCGTTTGACAAGTAATCATCGTTCCTTCCTAATTGGGGTCGCTTTTGGATGGCTCTCTGCCTCTCTCTCTCTTGACTCTTGAGTACAATCAGAGGTTTAAGCTCAGTGGAAACTGAGAAACAGACAAACAGTGAGCAACCTACAAATAAAGATATATACCAGCGTTAACACTGTAGTGTTGAGTGGGGGCAATTGGACTGTATAATTATTCTCTTGGGCTCTTACTTTATTTCGATATAAAATAATATAAATTGGATTATTAATTATTGTACTGTTTTCTATGTAATTATAAATGACACATACCACGTGCAATTTATTACAAATCAGTATTTAAATCAATCAAGATTCCTCGATCAATATTACAATTATGTTAAATTTACGTTCTTGTGTACATCTTCCTTTACACTCCTCTTGTGTTACATAATTTAGGTAGGAAGGAGAAAGATTGTTGAGGAAATCAAAGGGAATGACGGTGTCATGTGACAGGGTGTAAAGGAAAGTGTATACAAGAGCACATGTAACATTGTTGTCAATAGAATCATGAATGAGAATAGCATTAAAATTCTTAACTACCTTTTATACTCTATTTATAAATTTAATCAAAATCAAACATTAATTTCAATTAACCTTACCTTGTGACAGAAGAAAAAGAATGGGGGAGTTCCATTAGGACTTTTAGTTGATGCCTCAATCACTATATATAGGATGAATTGAAGAGAGAATTGGGTCTGGATTGAGACACATTGATCATCCCTAAAATGAGAGAAAAACCGAGAAACTTATAAGAAAGAATAAATGCTCATAAAATTCAAACTTGTTGATTTGAAAGATCGAATATGAAGAAAGAAATAATAATTCGAAAAACTTCTCAATACCGTTTATTTAATTTAAGACTCAACTGAAGGTCAAAATTAATTACAACTCGCATTTAAAGCAGTTAAATAATAACTAACTCTTGGATAACGATTAACTCTAGATAACGATAGGAACAAAAGATAAAATCAATCTCTAAACGAAATTAAAATTCCCTTTTCCACTCAAAGTAGATACAAAAATTTCCAAAAACAGACAGTTCGAAAATATTTTTTCTTATTCCGATCCCACTTTTCCATGAACTCTTCTTCTTCTTTTTGTATTGCATCAGAAGATAACGCGTGTTGAGACGCAATTGCAATTTAGGTTGAGTAATCTGAAGTGTATGAGCTCCCGTTTGACTTCTATTATTCTACATTATAATGAGAGGAATAGTAAATTTTTGAAAAATGTATGGTTCAAAAAAGAAGGAAATTTTTTTAAATTTATTTGTAATATTATTTTATTGAAGAATGTGCGATTGATAAGAAAAAAGAGAAAAATAAATTATAACTTAATGAGGAACAAACGGAGGCTGAACTGCAGTGTTGGGCAACATGACATCCGTATTAGTAGCCAACATGGCCAATTATCGGTATTTTATTCGCCATTGCCAAACTTATAAATGCCCGCAAATGTGGATAAACAATGTAAAGCCAGTTCACATAATTCCTCTATCTGTATGTGACGAAAAGTCACACATCAGCTATAGGATGGACAAAAGTGTGCAATTTATGTCAATATCCATTAGTCCAAACATAAGTACTTTGTTGCAATTTTTGGATTGTGAATTTAGTCCAAATTACATATCACTACCAAGTCATAATTCTTGTGTCAAAAACAATGTTTTGCCAGTCTAGATCGATTGTGTTTATTTGGAGGTCGATAGCTTTGGGCAGCCACCTTCCTTGGCGGGGCAGGTGTGTTTGTGGTTTCTTTCCCAATCGGTTCCAATTTTCGCCTGCAGTTCTTTGTGGACGGGAGTTTTTGGGCCATGTTTTGGGTGTGATTTTTGGTTTTTTCGTTTTTGTTGTTATTGTTTGTCTTGTTTGGTCTCTTGCAAAGGGTACACTGAATCTCTCTTAGGAGAGCATAGTGTTGGGGGATTTTCCTCCATGTATCCATCATATTTGCTGTTAGTTGAATATATTGTTCATCTTTGCCTCAAAAACAAAAAAAAAAGATCGATTGTGACAAAGGCAGTCCAACAACACTTGCTTTTTATTCCTTTTTCCAAGAACATTGAAACCATCGCACAAACATAAACTCCTTACAAAATTAAAAAATATAATAAAATAGAACATTGTACTATCCAATTTTCACTGATATGGTTTGATGGAAAGGCATATCAATGATATCATTATCGGCATGTTTGATGAAACAGTAAACCATTTTTGTCCATCCGAGTCCATGTTTGGCTAATAATATTATTCATATTGAAGACTACTGGTTGTCGTTCTATATGGCACACACATGATAGTATGTTATTTGATACATTAATGTGGTTTTTTTTATTGCCTCATGCATTAAATAACAAACTTTCATGTGTGTGCCATGTAGAGCTACTACTGATAATCTTCATTATGAATAGTACTATTCTATTTTTAAATATGTGTATTTTGCCTTCTCAAAAATTTCTAGAAATTGTATAAATATCAACGAAAATTCGTTTTATAAAGAGACAATAGCTCCAAACCTTCCTAAGGAGATAATCCCTTTGGTTCGAATTAATGTTAAATCTATTTTATTTCTATTTGTTTATTTGTACATATCATTCGATAGCAATTAGGTTAAAACATTTTCAAATATTTAAACTATTCTTGTGACTTCAAAAAATGAATTTTCCCCCAAGAATATACTTTAGAGTCCTTATCACCAATATCATCAATTAAACCGTTTGATAATTGGAATTCTAAATACGTATTAATTCATATAGTATAGTTTAATAATAAGTTAGAAATATTATTTCTAATACCTCAACGAATTAAATCGAAGGTTGTAATCAAGCTCAAAACACGACATCATGGTTGATAAGTTCGACTATACCCCTCATTTTTGTTTATACTCTCAAGACTCTCCAAGTGTAACCAAACAAGCAAAGAGATGGGATCAAGAAAAATTGAGTGTCTATACATTTAATAAACGACATAGAAGAATCTGATTGTGCCGGTTAACAAAGTCACCATCTGGTGATTCCTATTCGATGACAACCGGCTGATGAAAACTATGAAGCCACCCACACTATATATATATACACGAAGTTAGGCTGCAAATTAGTCAAATATAATCGCACATCACGAAATAGTGTGTGAAAAAAGAGAGAGAGAGAGAGAGAGAGAGAGAGAGAGAATGGAATTCGCTTGTAAGGATTTTAAGGTAGGAAAGTGTGAAGGTGAAAAGCTTGTGGATGGTGAAACCATGCCACTAGTACTACAACCTCCGGCAGCCGAGAAAAATGACACGGACTCGTTAGTCGCGGCGTTGAAGGAGAACAAGGAGTGGTTTGAGGAGATGATAATCAAAAACAGTGCTGTCCTCCTCCGGGGTTTTGATGTGAAGAATGCAGNTGCTCATTTTTGTTTATACTCTCAAAGACTCTCCAAATGTAACCATTCAAGCGAAGAGATGGGATCAAGAAAAATTGAGTGTCTATACATTTACTAAAGAGAGCTGCTATTTGTATCGGGGTATAAAACCCCCCTGACCGGCCCCCTCACAATAGGGGGCCCACATTTTGTGAGGGGGCCGGTCAGGGGGGTTGTATACCCCGGTACAAGAAGAATAATTCTTTACTAAACGACATAGAAGAATCTGATTGTGCCGGTTAACAAAGTCACCACCTGGTGATTCCTATTCAATGACAACCGGCTGATGAAAACTATGAAGCCACCCACACTATATATATACACGAAGTTAGGCTGCAAATGAGTCAAATATAATCGCACATCACGAAATAGTGTGTGAAAAAAGAGAGAGAGAGAGAGAGAGAGAGAGAGAGAGAATGGAATTCTCTTGTAAGGATTTTAAGGTAGGAAAGTGTGAAGGTGAAAAGCTTGTGGATGGTGAAACCATGCCACTAGTACTACAACCTCCGGCAGCCGAGAAAAATGACACCGACTCGTTAGTCGCGGCGTTGAAGGAGAACAAGGAGTGGTTTGAGGAGATGATAATCAAAAACAGTGCTGTCCTCCTTCGGGGTTTTGATGTGAAGAATGCAGTGGACTTCAATGAGATTGTAGAAGCCTTTGGATGGGACGATATACGGTACGTGGGACCCGCACCTCGAACACACGTGTATAAAAGAGTATGGACAGCCAATGAAGGTCCCCTTTCTGAGTTCATATACTACCACCATGAAATGGTTCTGGTGAGTGACTGAGTCCATGTTGTTATTGCAATTATTCTGAATAGAATATACATGTAAACTTTCGCTTTCTACTTTGTGTCGTTAGATTAAGGAATCACCAAAAAAGGTGATACTTTACTGTGAAATACCACCACCAGAGGGCGGAGAGACGCCGTTTGTGCCTAGTTTTCGAGTAACACAACGAATGCTGGAAGAGTTTCCGGAGGTGGTGGAGGAGCTTGACAAGAAAGGACTAATGTATTCATTCACGGCTCTCAGCAAGAACGATACATCTTCGATGAGAGGCCGAGGTTGGGAGGATACTTTCGCCACCTCAGATCCTAAAGAAGCAGAGAAAAGGTACGTAAGAAAAGATTTTTAGATTTTAGTATTTATCCCCACATTGATTATTAGGTCCAACTGTTCAAGAAATAAGTCGCCGTCAACAAAAGAGTTAGATTGCCTTTTCACACGCCAAGGCCCTAGACGGAGCGCTTCAACAAAGCTTTGTGCCTAAGCGCACTTTTAGAACAGTGCATACAATTTTAAATAGGATCAAGGTAAATAATCCGACTATGTCTAGTCTAACATATCATGAAAGTAATTCATCTTGTTGGTGACAGGGCTAGTGCTTTGGGGATGGATTTGGAATGGCTACCGAATGGCGGAGTTAAAGCCGTTTTGGGTCCAAGAACTTTGACAAGGGTGTTCGATGGGAGAAAGGGAAGGAGAATGTGGTTCAACACCATGGTTGGAATGCACGGAAAGGAGCACAGCTCGGCGACAATGGCAGATGGAACAGAAATACCTATCAAGTTCGTTAAGAGAGGTGAAGAAATTATTGAAGAAGAAAGCATCCAATTCAGATGGCAGAAGGGTGATGTACTCTTTTTGGATAACATGGCTTTGCTTCATGGAAGAAGACCATCTCTTCCACCTAGAAAAGTCCTGGTTACTACATGCAAATAAGCTCAAAATCAGTGACCTAATAAGAGAATAAAGAAATAAAATAAACAGCTATGCAATAATGTTTCTTTGGAAAATGAATAATAATATCTAGCATCAGCAGTGATGCTACAACATTAGCATATGTGATGTTATGTTATGTGATAAGTTCAATAAAGGTAGAATTATACAACTCTTTTAATTGTATCTTTCATTTATTCTCACATATTATCATGTAAATTGATGTTGTAATATTAATTATGCTAAATAATCTTGGAGGATATTAAAAAGTGGAATTTGCTATCAATCCTTAGTTTTCACTATTTTTCTTCTATATTTCGCAAGTTAACAATTTATTAATGGGTAATTGGCGCAAAATATTTTATCGTTCGTCTTTGTTGCGGAAATCGTTCGTATCATTTTACTTTTGGAATTTTAGCCCTAAGTTCGATCATTTTTTGAGCAATGGTCATTTTCATCTGATTTCAACCCATATATTCTATCAAATAGGCATGAGCAAAAGTTTTGCTCTCTAGTTTTAAATGAAAGAGGAAAAACAAATAAAAAGAGAAGAAAACAGAAAAAACACAGATGGAAGGGAAAAAAAATCTCTTTCTTCTTCAAATTCCACCATCACCACCACCCCTCCCCCTCCCAATTCTAAACACCCCATTTAGAGCATTAAGCCAGTTTTGTACCCATAGATTTTGAATTTTAGTTTAGATTTGTCATTGGACTTGTGATATGGGTGAGAACATATTGGCTATCTAGGACCTTACCTTACTACATCTATATCAAGCCTTACATAATGAATTATACAATGTCAAATGACACTCTATTATTAGATAATTTAAAACATAGTCAACTTTTTCATCCAATCATTTCACTACACATCATTTTCTGGCACACTTTATGAATGTTATTTTTTGAACAAATAGCATAATCCGGCTATCAGCTATCTATGTCTCCTAGCTGGATTTTACACAAACTTGCCTTAGATGCAGTTTTACGATTCATCTTTACAAAATTCCAACTTTTACTCTTCCAAACTAAAGAACTGTTTTGCGTGTTGAATAAAAATAAATTAATTACCTAGATGGGAATGAGAGTATGTTGCTTGTCCGTTAGGAACTGTAGCTAGGGATGGCAAAATAGCTTGTCAGTTCGGGCGGCCCGAGCTCGGCCCGGAAAAAGCCTGCGCGGCCGGCTCGTGGCTCGGTGGGGCCGAGCCCCATTTTGGGGCGTCGGCTTGAGCCGGGCCTGCCCGGCCCGTGTGGGTCAACGGGCCGGCCATGTGCCTAAAAAATAAAATAAAAAACTTTTCTGCCATTTCTTTTTTTAATTTTTTTAATTTTTTCTTTTAATTTTAGTTGTAATTTTTTTTTAAATGTTATTATTTATAATACGTATAAATTGCACAAATTTTAAATTCTTTAAACAAAATTAGATTCGTCATGAATTAAAAAATAAAAAAATCGAATCGGCTCGTCAAGCCTAATTTTTTTTGGTCGAGCTTTTGCTTGGCTCGGGCCAAAAAAAGCTCGAAATATTCGAGCCGAGCCTGAGCAAAAAGTTTCGGCTCGACTTATTGACACTCCTAATTGCAGCTGACTTTGATTAAGTAATGTTCCCTCTTGGTTTAAAGTGCGTGCATGCCTACCTGGAATGATGTGACTTATTTAATTGCATCTCTAAAAAGTCATATAATGCAATCTAGACCGACTTTTATTTTATTAAACCAACAATAATGGCCATTAACGCTAAGAATGATCGATATAATGATCCAAATGTTAAAAGTGAAACAATAAACACAATTTGCTAGAAAAATGATATATAGACTTTTTGAGTGAATTACCCTTTATTAATTTCCTAATATGCACAATTAGCAGATAGTTATACTCAAAACCAGAAGTGAACATGCCCGCATGACCCATTATGTCACCAGATGCCAAAAATAAAAATGAATAGGAATAGTCAAAGAAAGCTTCATTCAAACCAAACACCAAGAAATGGACTTCTAATTTTTATTTTTATTTTCATTTTAATCAAATGTCTTAAATCTATGTTTTCTCCATCAATAAGACAGCTGCCAAGGGCTGTTTTGTACACTTGAGTGGACTTCTACCGTTCTCAACCCGACTTACTAGAATCAAGAGGGTAGCCAAACTAGTGGTAACACACGTCTATCTGACAATATAAGACATTAAAAGATAAGTTCAATGAAATGTGAGGCCAGCTACCGTACGGACATAGACCGGTAAAATACTGGTTGGGCTATACATAGAATTGCTGCTCAGATTCTTAATTTTGTCGACAAAAGGAAAATTTATAGTACGTATAGCACGCTAGACATATAATTGACAAATTTTATGCCATCATCCAATCAAGCATACTAAAATGTTGATAACCTCCAATAAATGTATTGAACAATTTATCGAACCATTTTAAAACTCGTAACATTATGATCCAGCATATCAGTAACCTACTTTGGTTGTCAATTCACCAAGGATGTCAGTGTCGAACAACTGAAAATTACAATATCTAGGAAATACAAAAAAATATCAAACTCCTGGCCACGTAATATATCAGAGAGACAAATAGTTGCCACCGGAGAGGAAATCAAAGATTTTATCCCAATTTATTATTCAAACAACTAAATGCAGAATGCACAAGAGCATCACAAGTCCTTTATCAATTATTCCTGTCCCCATGGACAAGATAGCATTGCCTTTCACTCTTAATAAACGTGCACTTTGCTTTAAGAGGTACGATTTGAAAAACCTCGACCACGGCCCCTACCAACATAGCCACCATATCCACCACCAGCATAACCCCCCCTTCCATAGTAAGAGCCTCGAAACCGACCACCACCACGAGGGCCACGACCTCCTTGACCACCACGATACCTTGAGAAATCTCCAAACGTCTGCATCAATACATAAATCTTAGCCAACTATTGGAAAACCAACATATGGGAAAATCAACACCACCAAATGAGCATACCTCGGTATCTAACTTCATTTGCTCTGAATACCTAGTCCTTCCATGATTTGACTCATTGTCCAGGGCATTAGAAGAAATGGAGTCAAAAAAGTCATCCTTTTTGTAAACAGACTTCAAAAGACAAAAGAGGGTGTTAAAAGAGATGTGAAGCAATCATAAAATAAAAAAGCATTCACAATTTAAAAACTTACCGTGATCTCAATCTTTGGCAGTTCAGCGTCATCTTCATCACGTGAATCATCATCTTCATCGCTGCCATTTTCATTCTCTTCCTTAGACTGGGATTTGTTACTTTTACCCAGATGACCCCATACTTCATCCTTATTGAATTTTTCATTCATTGCCATAAAATCAAAATCTTCAGTAAATTTTGTCACACGGCCAGGAATCTGCAAGGACAATGATCAATGTCCAAATCAGGGACTCCCGTTAACAGTCAACAGCACATAAGCAAAACATTTATAATTTTGAAAGATCTTAGATTAAAATCATCTTATTTTAAACAATTCGAAATCTCGCACATCAAAATAGGCTAAGTTTATCTGACATCAAGTAAAGTAGAATCCATCTTTGGGTTTGTTTGAGCCCCATTTTTTGGATCATAAATTTTGTAACAGTGATTTTTTTTGGAGAATGTGTTAACAAGGAAAAAATCCGAGTTTATGAATAAAATTATTTAATAGGGAGAATTTGTGGTTGAAAATGAGTTTGGAGAAGAATGTATTTTTAAAGAATGGGGCTCAAATAGGGGCTTAATTTACAATTCTCAACTGTTTAATGACTCTAAAATTAGATTATGAAATGAAAACACTATTCTTCCAGTGATGCGGTCCCACCTTCTGCTCCATTTTCAAGACGTATTGATGTAGGACGTGACAAGAAAGGAGAGAGAAGAAATGGGAGGACGAAAATAAGTACCTCTGATCCAATAAGAATAAAGTTGTGTTTACAATGAAAAACCCAAGTCCATAACATATAACAATCAATTAAAAATGTGCCTGAATAACACGAGATGAAATTCTAACTGATAAAAATAACCTAATCTAATTTCCATTTATCAAATTTATAAATGGTTTATGAACAGATATATTAGGATGAATAGTAGAGGGCCCACAAAATGTATGAGTAATGAGTATAAGTAATTATAAATGTGAGGTTGTAATTAATGTTTGACTTTGACTAAATTTATAAACCATTTGTAAATTTGTTTACCAAACGAAGGCTAGAAGTCCATCTCTTCTACTTGTTTCACCTGGAGTAGATTGTTCCCCATCACATATACTTATTGAACCTCATTCAAGTTTTCTCTTCATGAATTTAGAACAATATTAGATACGAGAAGAACATGTAAGCACAGGTATTTGCAATTAATCTTGTACTTTTTTAAGTGTTTCATAATGCCACTAATTCTACAGGCATGCATGTGGAGGTATTGAAAGCCATTTATATTTATTTTATATTTAAGTATACTCTTTTAAGAGTACCAAAATACCACTTATTCTTCAGATTTTTAACAGGCATAGCACTGAAAGCCATTTCTATTTGTTTTCTATTCCAGTGTACCTTCAAAAGGATTTGTGTTTTGAATTTTCTCATGCAGGCAGACTTAATTTAGCCTGTGTTGACATCCTTTATTTCAACTCTTTTTTCTACATACTCATTTTCAGCCACACATTCACACAATAAAGTATCTTGCACATAAACCCAAAACTTTTCCCCACTTTTTAACCACATATTCTCCAAAAATTCACTATTCAAAACATTGAAAATCCCAAATAATAACCATCAAACAAGGGCTTAATGTGAGTCAATGGGATGCGTAACAATCAACCCCTTCACAGTCTACACAATGAGTAGGTGTAGTAAAACAGGTTAGAAAATACTTGTCAACAGAGATACAAAAATGCAAAAGTATTTTCCATTTGACATCCTACACCTTTATAGGAAAGGATTGATAGGGTTGTTTCACCAATGCATAGAAAAAAGGGCATGATACTTTGTGAGAATCAAATTCAACAAACTACTAATGAAACATATCGCTAAAGCAACCACAACATAATGTCGAGAGACATGAAAGTAGTCTATAAAGGCTACAAAGAATAATGAGGGCGTGTGTCTTGAATAAATGGAACAAATCTGAGATTAAATATAGTGAATAAAGTTCTTACCCCAGTTCCTCTTCCGCCACGCCCTCTGTAATTATTACGCATGTGATAACTAGCTCCATTTGGCTAAAGGACATTAGAAGAATACAACGTTAGCTTCTAAAGCACCTTCCATCAGATAGTGCATTCACAAACAAATTTACGCTCAAGTGGAAAAAATAATTAGTCATACAATTTCAACATGTCATGGAAACATCAGTTTGACGATTTTCTCTAAGCAAATAAATTAATATGGTACTAATTAAAAGTGGTGTGTCACATCTTGCAGCTTCTCAGTGACCAAACAACTTCAAAATATCTCTAGTCCATGGATCTTATCATACACATGAAAAATACAGCATACTCATTTTTATTTCCGAGCCGGCTGGCTAGTGCAGGTGTATATATTTAATTCCGAGCTAGTAGAACGTGATCATATTTAAGGAAAAGAAAAGATTCGTGTAGACAAGGTACTGAACCAATATGAAAGGGAAAAAAAATAGTCTACCACATGTATGATCAGTGATGCCCATATTAAGCATTCAAATAGAAGGCTTTATCAGCTTAATCAACCAAACTATAAATACAATGATCTAGCTTTTGGAAGAACTAGCTTCACTTGAAGCCTAACTAGATTTTATATTATCAAGGGTGTCAAAACTGAAAATTCAATCAGAACTAGGGGTTTTGCTCTGCTGGTGCAATTTCGATGCTTAAATCTTTTCATTTTAATCACTTAACTTCTTCTCATGAGGTTCTCTACATTCTTTAAATTAAAGCTCCTATGATCTATTCAATATTCTAGACAAAAAAGATTCTGTCTTCATAGCATTCAATCATAATAATCGAATTTCAATACATGAACAAACAACAAATAATAAGTGTTTGAGTGCCAGTAGGTATGCATGCAAACAAGTAAAGGAAACCTTATGGGCTCGCGTGCTCGGTGGTAAAGGTAATATTGGCGGTTGAGATTCAGTGGCCACCCGAACTGGCTGTTCTGATGATGGCTTAGGTGACGCTTGAACTACTTCCACATCTTTTTGAGCTGTTTGCAAAGACTGAGTTGAAGACGACGGAGGTGGTCCAGACTGCAATAGCTGCCTTGGGGTTACAAGTGAAGGTGTGGATGTTTCTAAAAGACCTAGGCTGGATGACCCAGAAACAGAGGTTGCAAGATGAGACATGGTATGTTGTGTCAAGGGTGTTGGGACATATTTTGCAAGATTGCTAGCGACTGAAGGTGCACCAGCGTTGTCAGGAATTGATGTAGATACAGGAGCTGAAGATGGCAAGTTAGAACTTGGTGCTAACATAGGGATGGCAGATATAGGAGCTTTGTTTGGTAACAGGTTTGTTATTGTTTCAGATGCCAGTGAAATGGGCTGCAGTGGAGGAACACTAAAAGGCAAAGAATTGGAGTTAACATTAACAGAACTAGAATTGTTGGGAACCACAGGAGAATTATAATCGTTTAAATTAGATCCTGGTAAGCTCGATGCTCCTGTCTGTAAAGATGTTGTGATACCAGAATACTGCATCTGTTGCATGGTGGGAGGAGGCATTGACAGCCCCATAGGTGGTCGAAGCAAGGATTGCTGGGGCAGTTGAGGCATACCGCTTGGTGCACCATAGAACCCCTGCCAATACATTGGCATAGCTAGCCCACTACCATTTGCATTTGGAGGAGAAGGGCCCCAAGAGTTCAAGTTCCCCCCCGGTTGATATAAAGGCAGACCACTTTGAAGAGCTGACCCAGGATGTCCCAAATGTGCAGAATGGGAACCAAGATCAGTCAAAGACCCACTAGGAGCTGTGGGCAAGCTTGTTGATGTGGTTGCTGGATGAGGATAGTGAGACTGCAGTGAGAATAAGACAGATTAGATTCAAATCAATTCAACATCTAGCATCATGTCACTTCCCCCACAGTCTTGGTAATACTTGCCTGAATAATGGCTGGATCATTGTTTATATTGTTTATAGGTGGTGTAGTTTGAATGGGAGGAGACGATTTCACCTGCAAATCCTGCGAAATAGAAAATATGTAATCAAATTATAAGCGAATAGGAATGCAGATGGAGTAAAGAAGAACGAATGCCAAACACAGGTGGGAGGGAGAAAAAAAAAAAGTCTTAATCATGATCCAGTAAGAATATGGCATGACATCTATCATAGGTGTTACAGTAAAGAATTGCTAATGCCAAGTATAATGAAGCCTATCATAAAGTAATGGCCAATTTTACAAGTATGCAAAAGTGCCATATTGCCATTCTCGTCTAGAGCAACTGTTCTAAGTTGACCCCCCATCATACACCAACCTCCAAAAACAGGGAAAAGAAGAAACAGAATGAGAGCATGTATTTTCATCGAAATAAACGGTCTAATTATAAATAGACAGAAATGTTTGATAGACAGGTATATAATACTTGAGGGCCCATTGAAATGTGTTTGAAAATGAAGTTTGAATAATTACAAATGATTCATAAATCATTTATAAATTAGCCAAACGGAGGCTTAGAAAACTTTGTATTACATCAAAATCTGGATACCAGCCGATGTGTTGAATAAGATGTATTTACTCAAAACAAGCAAACCACGCGCGAATCAAGAAAATATATCTTGCAAGACAAACTACACAAGCATACAGTTTCAGATCGATACCTTAATATCACTTCCTCGAAACAGTATGTATTCATAGATTTTGTCGCCAGGAGGGACTTGTGGGCCATCCTTTTTCCGTCCTTCGGTTCCAAATGATCTCACTGCCACAGCATGAACAAGCATGAGCTCCATTGTGAATTGACATTAACTCAATACACAGCAACCATTTAGACAACTAATCACACTGAACAGGCTATAACGCCAACTTGTGATACTTAAATAAGTTTCCAGAAAATAATCATTTTCTAGGCCATCTTACTGAAAATTCGACTTATTGATTTGTCATATACTGATTAAGAAATTTGTAAAATGGACTAAATCATTGAAATCTCAAGTAATGCATATGTCGAGGAACTCCAAAACCATTGTTAAGCCCTATGAGTGCAGTCCATTTGTTGCGCAAACAATCTATCACCCATGTCATGGGCACTACAACCTAATCAGTGACAGACATATTATTCAAAAATAAAGTTCAATTTACTTAATAAGCATCACTAGTCATTAGTCATATCTATTTTGTTGTTAACTTTTTGAATATAAAACTCAAATAATTCAAACTCTTTTCTCAAAGGAGCTCGAAAGCACTACTCTCCAATCCCAAATTTAGATTGCTAATAACTCAACTAATAATTAGCATAAGCCAATCCATTGAGAACCAATTAACTATCAATTTCTCATGTTTTGAGTAGTATTCACATCAGTTCAATTTTATTTTATTTTTGCTATTGTTTAACCCACAAAATAGCCAAGATTAATTATTTTCCCAATGCCCATAACCAAAACATAAAATAAAAAAATAATTTATTTTAACATGAAAAATATCGAGCCAATTATATCCGTCAAAAAAAATAAATGTTCTAACAGGAAAAAGAATCAACCAAGAATTATCCAAAAGTTAAAACAAATCTCAGTCAAAACTCGATCAAGAAACAGATATAACTGAAACCCCTGTTTGTCTAAAACAGAAAAATGTTCTAAAAAATAGGTTCTATAAAGCAGCATCCACAGAACAAACCAATTAATAATAAAAAATTCCCCAAAAAACTAAACAATTTCAAGAAAAGCTAAAATTTACAGAAAAATCACGAATGACTTGTTAAATTCCTTACCGTTGCGGAGGCCGATGCTGGACTCTTCAGTGTTAATGTTGTAGAGTATGCCCTCATACCTGATCTCACTTTTCGATGTCAAGCTTATTAAGCTACCGATGTACGAATCTGCCGATGCTCCACCGCCAGATCTACTGCTCGACGCCGCCGTTGAACTCTCCGCATCCATCCCTTTCCACTGCTATTCTATTTCAGTTAAATCTGTCGATTAGATATGACAAAAAATGTATACATGAAGACAAAGAATTTTCAGATAGAATATTGGCCCGAGTGAAGATTCTTTAGATAATTCTAGGGTTTTCGGTTTCCCACTTCATTACGGGTGGGCAAATTATTATCCTCTTTGTATTAGCCGTTTGGGCTCTATTATTTAAAAAATACATTTTTTTTTTAATAATATCTTTTTCAATCAAAAAATATTATATCATATTTAAAAAAAAATTAATTATACTTTTTTCAAAAAATTACTATTCTAAAATATATTTTCCTGAAATTTAATTTTTAATGGATCTACTTATTTTAGCAACTTATTGGGTGTAAAATGAATCGACACATAACCCCACAATTGATTAATACCCTTTTTATTTTTTAACCGTATAGTATACATTGATAAATGCAATTCAACCCCCCACCAAACCTTAAATCTATGGTTTCTCTCAGCCAATTTAGGGGGATTTTCATGATTTTGGTCAATTATAGGCGGTTCTCTTTATTTACTCCCTCCGTTCCAATTATATAGGCTGAATTTTTTTTTCTTTTGTCCCAAATATATAGAAATGTTTTCTAATATAGAATATTTTGTTGTGTTTTTTTAACAATATACCTTTATTAGATTTTTCTCACTTAATATGTCAACTTCTTGAAATTATCCAAATACACACATTTCTCACTCCTTGGAAACATGGAACAGCTCTCGTTTCTTCTTCTTTTTCAAATTCTTTATCAATTCCAACAATAATTTAGTTTTACATATTGAAAATTAAATAGGGTTAAACTGAGAAATATCTTGGCAAAAATTAATTTTTCAATGATATTAAAAAAAAAAATTCTTAATCCGTGTGAAAAACGAAACAGTCTATATAATTGGGACGGAGTGAGTATTTATTATTAACTATCATCAAACATATCAATTTGGAACAATAAATTTGGCATGTCCGAAGAGAAGTTGTGATTCATTAATATAAGAAGAGATCTAGGGGCGGACCCAGGATTATTGTTCAAGGGGAGCGTGACGAATTTTCTTCAATAGAATTTTGAGATATTCGGATAAAATATCTCAACACGTCTTCCTACAAATCAACCAAAGAATGCATAAATATATTGGTGAAGCAGCCAAGAAGCTACACAAGGAATATCATAACACAAGGAATTGCTATTTTTTTAAAATTCTGTCATCTTAAGAATTTCACCTCTAAATAGGACTAGTATTGTTGTCTATTGAATGATGAAGATAATGATTTTTATGGCATATCATATGCGAGATTGTTTCTAAATTTCTCTCCCAAACTCTCCAATTCCTCTTATCTCTTCTTTCTTTCACTTCCTCTTTATTGCACTACCACACAAAGTAGAGCGTACACCCTTTACCATAGAAGAAAAAACTAATGAGGATCCACTAACTTGAAAATTGGTCAGCAAAGAAATATACACGGTAACTTGAAAACATGTACATGTTGACAAAATCAAAGCATAACAAGTCTAATAACTTGACTGTTGTTATAGATACTATTTATACGTAACTGAGAGTTGTTCCAATGAGGCAACCGTACGTTATATAGCCGACGCCAATTGTTCTTGTAAACACACAGAATTCAGATTAGACATGCTTCTGTTCGAACCTCTTTTGGCCACCAACCTAAATTCATCCTCCAAATTTTCTAGAAACCGAAGAACTCTCGGGTTGCCAAGTTTCTCCTTCACTATAGCAAAATACACATCGCCATCCTCCATCAGGAACCCAAAAGTTTTTTTTATTCATGGTCTGAAAATACCACCTGTGATAGGGAGGAGTCATCTCTAAGCACAATGCAGCCAAGTTCTCAATTTCATGATCAGCACCATTATAGGCGTACAAAACTCGACCCCCCCTTCAATACACAGCAATAATATACAATATTTTGAATTGAACCCATAAGAAAAAAAGGCCAAGACCAATCTCAATAACCATAGACTGAATACAAATCCTGTCAAATAAGAACTAATCAAATAGCTACCAACCAATTTCAGTAATTCACGAATCTAAGCAATCAATATTTGCAAAAACAAGTAGAAAACTTCTTTAATTAACGAGGCAAACAACTAGCAACAGGATAATATTTTATCAATAGCAGAACAATTCCTCAACTAAATATTGGAACTCAAGAACCACGCCCTTTATTTATGTGTTATCTTTCAGAAAACCCACATCAAATTTATACAATTTTGAATAACAGTCAACAGTTATTAGACTTGTTATAGTCTATAAGCTTCATAGTTCTGTAATTTATACAATTTTGAATAACTATAAGGCACCATAATGTTATTTCTCTATTCATCTAGCTGCTAGCATATTTTTTTACTCTTAACATCTAATTAAAATATTTCGCCAACCTGATAATACCAACGATTTGTAGTTGAGCAGCCGCTAATTGGAAGGGGATGGATTAAGGGAATTCGGGGAAATGGCAGGGATTGGGAATTCGGGGAAGGGGAAGGGGAAGAAAGGTGTCGGAAGTGTGGGCTTCTTTTAAGCATTTACATTTCTTCATGGTGGGCTTCGGTAGTTGGGTCATGCGTGGGCTGCTCTTTTTTTTTTTAGTAAGGCAAAAATTTAATGGCCCAGTGGGCAATACAAGGACAATGGGAAGGCGTAAGACAGGGATAATTGTAATAAGTGCACTGTCATGTGTCGGTAAGAGAGAATACACATCGGAATGCCTTCTCGAAGAGATTAATGAGTTATTATGTGGCTTTTATGATCAATCCAAAAGATAGCAATATGGAAATTTGTTTGTAGACACTCGATTTTGTGGCTTTTATGATAAATCTAAAAGACGGCAATATGAAAATCTGTTTGTAGGCACTCGATTTTCGGAACCTGAGTTTGATGAAGGAATAAGAAACCTTTGGAAGTTCCACTAGAAAATATTTCAACTTCATTTGAATCAATCGTTGAAACTTCTAGTAACCAACCAATGGGGGACAGTAAGTGGATGCGGGATGATGATAAATGTTGGTATTTCAATAGGGAATTGGGGCTGTGGTGCTTTCTGGGGAGATCTTGAAGTCAAAGCCATAATTCAGTGGCTATCAGCGTCTCAAGCACTAAAACATTTCATCTTATATTACACATTTGGATTGGAGACCTTGAGGAAGCTTGACAAGGCAGTAGAAGGGATTATATCCCAACAATGGACTGTGGGAGAACTTTGGGGAAATGTTGGTCGAGCATATTGGGCAGAAATTGAAGAAATAAACCAAACTTAGCTTCTTCAACTGGCTTCTTCCCTCATTATATGATCATCATCAGGGGCGGACGCAGACTTTTTCTGTTGGGAGCCACAATTAAACTTTCAAAAAGTGATGAAAAAATTAAAGTAATAGATATTTTATTACAATTGTTCTCTACGTATTCTCATATTTTGATAACGTTTTATAATTAAAGTGAGAAATAGAGAAAAATTTAATATTGTTTCATAATTCAAATCAGCAAAGAAATTGAATACACAATCTTGGTCATCAAGCTTTGATAGAATCACAGCCACAGATCTATATGTACATTTCTTAAATGTAAATTGTAGTGGAATTGTTAAGGAAATTACAAAGTTTGGTCGAGCATTTGAGAGGCTCGACTCGCTCCCTAACCCATTCCCTATTATCAAATGCCAGCCGCAGTATTACACGTATATTAACTGAATTTAACTGGAATGAAATTGCAAAGGAAACTTAAAGGAAATTACAAACTCCCGTCAAGCATTAGAGAGGCCCGACTTGATTTGAAATGGAGATAACATTGGTTTGAAATGAATGAAGATTCATTTTCATTTCATTAAAAAAAAAAATCCAAAATTTTGGGGAGGGGGCGGGGCCACCTGCCCCCCAGGCCACCGCCCATGATCATCATCATCCCTTGATGATGGACACACCATTCACTTAATAAAATTCTTCACCTGTGTTTGTTTTCACGTCGTTTATGAACTTATTTTATATTGTATTAAAAACAAAATATCGTTTATTCAGATGTTCGATATCATTCACTAAATATGCAAAGAAAAAATTTGGAATTTTTTTAACGAATTACTATTAGAATGGGACAGCAAGATCTATTATATAGAATTCTTTTTGATATATAGGACAATGCGAACAAAGGGAGAATTTATAGATTTTTTTTTATTTATTTCATGAAAATATTTAAAGGATGCTCTCTATTATGTTGTTAAGAGTAATGGATAGTTTCACATATACACTAGAAAAAACAAATATATTTTTTAAAAATATTATTAACCTTTTCCTTATGAAAAATATCGTTTTGTAACATATTTTTATAATATGTGTTTGTTATGTTGTCATCATTACCACTACTACATTATTCATCACTACCAGTACCGTATCTATCATAATCACCTAGCCAAGCTCCCTCTCACCATCACCACATTACCACAAACTCCACTCCAATGCAAGTCAACCATAAGCGTCATTCATCTTCGACCACCGCTACCATCACCATTGCCACCACCATAATTAGTCACTAGATTTGCACTATTTGCAACCAAATTTGCACCACCATCGCCAATCAGGCCCACACAACCACCCACGCAATTGTGATTCAATAGCCACACCACCATCTCATTATGAACAACGGTGCTCAAATCCGGAATATTTTGTGATATTCTATAGTCACCACCTTTATTTCGACTTGATTTGAGTCCCTTTTTTTGTGAAAAATGAATTTAGTAATATTGACTTTTTTTGGAGAATATGTAGTTAAAAAAGTGAAAGAAATTTTGGGTTAACATGCAAAATTATTTATTAAAAGAATAAGTGGTCAAAAATGAGTTCGCAGAAAAATTGAACTTTTAGAGAATGGAGCTCAAACATGGGCTTCCTCTTTTTATATTTAGCCTGTTGGGCTAACTTCAGCCTACCTATGAAGGCAGCCCAACCCAGTGTCTGGTTTTTGAGCATTCTATG